CCTGAGTCAACCTTGAGCCCCTGGCTAGTACTGAACTCACAACCTTGTGGTTTGTGAATGAATGGCTGCAGTATAGGCATTTAACCACTGAGCCTTCATAAGCTGGAAGGGACCACATTCTCTTGGTAACTTGCCTGCCCTCTTCTTTGGATGCCTAAATCATATTTCTAAATACTCAGTTGAAGTTTTAAACTACTTTGCTGTTGGATATTTGAGGACAGAAGGAAAATTTCATTGAAGGCAGAATCCTTATGGGGGGGAGGGTAATGACCTCATTTTGAGATACCCCCCTGGAGTGCCATTCTCCGCAGTTCATGTACACTCAAGCATAGAATGGGCATTTCTAAGGAAATGTACAACAGAGCTCTGAAGAATGAGCAGATTCTGCTACCATCGTTTTGTCTCATGATTTCAGGTTATATCTAAGAAGGGGGTCCCAGAATTTGGCTGAAATCATTATGATAAAACTGTGGGTGCTCTCTCCTTACCTCCCTCCCCCCCCTCAGGAACTTTCTACAAGCTGTTCCCTCACTTTATGCCAAAATAACCAGGAATCATCTGCCAAAGCACCTTTAAAATGAACAGGAAAGCTGCAAGGTTGCAGATGGAGCTTGTGTTGGAGAAATTCCCAGCAGACTGTGTCCATTGGCACATCTCACAAAATCTGCCTCCGAAGCTAAGAACCCAATAAAATTTATCATGGATACATAGCATCAAAATCTTTCTCCCTCTCCCTGCCAGCACCCCAGCAAGTTTTAAAACTTCAGTCAATTATATTTAAGAGCAACAATAGCATATGTAAAAGGGCAAGTTGTCCATATCTGAAGACCAAATTGTGCTATATAGGGTAAAATTGAAGGGATGCTATTCCCACAATTCCAAATGCATGGATGGCTTTTTTTTTTTTAAAAAAAAAAAAACTAAACTAAACTGCAAGGCAGTTTGGAGCAGAAAACTGAGGTAAGAGGTGAGAATGGAGGTGGTGTACTGCACTCTCAATCCTACTATTTGCATTGGAACAAAAATGTCCACCTGTGTAAATGAGAGCTTTCTTTCCAAGGCAAGGAAGGCATGCAGAGGTCTGATCCAGGTTGGGCCCACAGCAGGGAGCCAAGGAGTAAAAGTGCTCACCCTCCAACACTTTACTTGCTTTTTAAAAGTCAATTATCCCTGAATCCTGAAGCCAATAGGGCCCCACACAGAAATAACTTTTCTGAGCACTGGTGATTTCTCCAAAGAACTAGGCTCCAGCAGAATTTCATCTTGATAGATTATTTTGACACTTGTGTACACTCAAGCACAGGATGCAGATGCAAGTCTTCCATTACAGGTCCTTTTACTGCCACCACATATATGCATTCTCAACAGAACAGTGATGATTATCATTTATAACTTGACAAATTTTGTTCCTGCTTTATTCATTAGTATTTATATACTTGAGAACAAAATAGCTCATATGAAAAAGCCCTCAAGATCACAAAAACTGGATCCATGTGGTTAGTCCGTCC